TTTTTTTTTTTCCAGAACCGGGGATTGAACTCAGGACCTTGCACTTGTCAGGGAAGCGCTTATTCCATTGAGCCATCTCCCTGGCCCCTGTAACATATTTTCTAAAGCCAACACTAAATTAAAAACAAATCACTTTATTCTGTTCATCTAACTAATGTGTCTTACCTCAGTGTACCCATCCCCTACATTCTGTATGTTAAACGTAAGTGATTTAATCAAGTATCAATCCTTTAAAATATTTATAGCATTATAAAAGAAATTTTAGGATCAAATATCAGTCATTTACAAGGTAAAAATTTAGCAGGGAAAAAAGGTTTGAAAACTATCACAATACTATAAATTGATAAACTAGTACAGCTGCAAAGATTATTCATTGAACCTTTTTCACTCACTGATATACTAGAGTACTTGATAATTCTTTTTCATTATTGTTTATTTTTCTGTTTGAGACAGGGTCTCACTGTGTAATCCAGGCCAGCCTTGAACTCACAGTAATCCTCCTCCCTCAGTTTTCCAAGTGCTGGGATTACAGGTGTGTGCCACCACACCTAGCTGTAATCTCTAGACAACTTGAGTCCAATACAAACTTTTATATTTTTAATTACTATGACTTCGGCTAGTTAGTTCATATAGAAAAATTCCCTTATAAAATAACTTCTGTTTAGAAGTCAGTACAACGTCCTATCATGCAGCTTTCCAGCAGCAGAAATAAATGAAGCTCGGATCCTGACATTCCCCAGAAAGGCTTTCAAGTTTTTTTCCTGCCCACTGCCCTTAACCAAATCTAGAACACACTTAACTTTTCCTCACAGTCCCTGTTAGTTATGTCTCTCAACCTGCAGGAATTTAAACCTGGGCATGAGAGATGCTTGTTCCCAAGGGCCTCTCAAGTAGACTGACACAAAAACCCTCTCATCAGAACAGGTAGATGCCACTGAGCACTTGTCAGCGAGTGACTGGCCCGAAGGGCACTGGGAATCTTAGCCCTTATCAGATGTGACGGCCTGTGAACAGTTTTTGAAGGGCCACATGAAATGTCTCTTGTGCTTCAGGTAGCTTCATTTTGGAATAGCTCAGGAAAGCATTTTTTTTTTTAAAGCAAATTTTAAAAAATAAAAATGATACAGAATGTGGGACCCAGGTAGCCAAGTTCTGCTATCCTTCACTTCCCAAAACCCCAGCGGAAAGCGTTCTTTTATTAGAAGCAGCAAGGCTGCGTGGAACTTACCTCGCAGCGCTCCCCAGACTTTGTTGGCCTTGAGGGAAGCCACTGGCTCTAGCACAGTTAAGGTATCTGCATGGGGAAAGCACCTCTGTTAATCTGGGCAGTGCACACAACCCATGATGTCCTGAACACCTCATCGGTGTCTCTGAGCTACTTAAAATTTGCTTATTTTTGACACAGGGTCTCATTATGCAGCTAAGGCTGGCCTCAAACTTGCAGGGATCCTCTTGCCTCAGCCTGCTGAGTGCTGGATTACAGATGTTCCTCACCTCACCACGGCTGGACCCTCCTTTCCTTGACCCCAGACTTGCTCCTGAAAGGCCTCCTGCATATCTCCGCCTCTATCTCCCTCAGGTTCCTAAACCCTGCCCTCCTCCCTTGCCATACACACTCCCACTGACCTGATCCTGAGCTCATTTCTGTGAGGCACAGTGCCACCCTCTGGGCATTTGAGCTGCTTGGGGGCTGCCTCTATGACTTCTCGTTTCCCCCTCAGGGTGACTTCCCCTTGCTTTGCCACAGAGTTTGTTCCCTAAGCCAAGGTTTTAGGTCAGAAACACAAACATTGGGACCAGAAAGATAGCTCAGTGTCATAAATGCCTGTCCGGCAAGTGCAAGGTCCTGAGTTTGACCCCCCAGTACCATGCACACACACAAAAAATGCAAACATCCTCAACACCCACAATACCTAGGTCACTCAGAATCTCCTCCCTTAAGGCCAGAGGGTCGGCCACCTTTACTCCCTTTCCTTCACTTTCTGCCACATGCTTGGTACCCACCTTCCCTCAAGATTTTTCCAAATCTGCTTTAACACTTGGCAGCCCAAAGCGGCTGGGGAGATAGCTTAGCACTCTAAGTACCTGCCTGGCAAGCGCAAGGACTGGGGTTCGATCCCCAGTACCACATGCCTTGCCAGTCCCGGAACCCTGGGCACACTGTGCTGCTGGCCACTGAAACTGGGAGTGGTGGTGCACACCTGTATTCCCAGCACTGGGGAGGCTGAAACAGGAGGATCACTACGAGTCCAAGCTGTGGAGCAAGACCCTGTTCCTTTAAAAGACTTGCTGTCCAGGCTACATGTCATAGCACACAACTGTAGGCCTAGCACTCAGGAGGTTGAGGCAGGAAGACCACTGAGTTTGAGGTCAGACTGGGCTCCATAGTTCAAGACCAGCCTAAACTACATAGTGAGTTCCTGTCTCAAAAAAATAAAAAGAAAAAGGAAACAAAGAAAAAGGAAGATGCAGCTCTCTTTAATTTGGCTTTGTCCCACTTACTACAAAGCTCACGTTCACGAAGAACAGGGCTCCTGTCGGCTGCTTCTGGACTGAGAGGGGTTCATTTTTCTCTGAACTCACGAAGGACGAGACACTTTAGTAACAGCAGACTTAGTCTTTTTAAAAGGCCTGGAGTCATGTCACTAGACCGAGGAAAGCAGAGGAGACTGAACGGCTTAGCGGGCACAGCCTTGCCACGGCAAAGACCCTGCAGGTGCAGGTTAACGATCTCACATGGTGGCCTCTGGACAGGGTCACCTCGGCCACTCTGCACGCACTCCTGTCCCTCCCCAGTGGCCCCAGGGAAGGAGAGCACTGTGGCAGTCCTGTGACTCTCCGCGGACAGCCTCCTGACAGCAGCCGAATGCCGGGCTAGGAATTACAGCACTGGACGCTGCTGCTCAGAGCACGGTCTACTCCTGTCCCTCTCCACCGATGACGTCTTGTTGCCCGCCTGGCCCCACCACCCCATCAGCTGCTGCTTCCTTCCTTTCCCTTTCTCCTCTGTTCTCCCGCACCCGATGCCAGGGATGGAATCTGGGGCCCTGCACATGCTGGCATGGGCACCGCTGCTATGCCAAGCCCCCCGCTCTCCCAAAAGCTGGGTAGAAGAAGGCAGTCCTAGGGACTGAGCCCCTGAATCTCCGACAAGCACTCTGCCACTGAGCCACATTACCAGCTCTGCCAGTCACTTAAAACAAACAAACAACAACAACAACAAAAAAAAACAACACTTTTTGCCACGTTATAACCTGGAGGGCTCTGGAAATAGCACTGATATCCACCAAAAAGCACAAACTGGCCGGATGCACTTGATGCCAACTATTTTCCAATAGTAGAGGCTGGCAAACAGCAAACATAGAAGTGAGGAGGAGTGGCTTCCCAGGGGAACGGAACAACAGACAATGATGGAACCTCAGCTTTTAGTTCAAAACCAAATTATTAGTGTTAACACTGACCACCTCTCTGGTGGTGGGGTAGGAGAAGCATGTTTCACTTTTTTTTTTCAGTGAAAAATCTCTGATCTCTTTCGGTACTTTAGAAAAAAATCTTTTTATTTATGTATTTGGTACAGGGTCTTGCTACATAGCTCAGACTCATGGTGATCCGCCTGTCTCAGCCCCCCTAGTGCTGGGACTATAAGCATGTGCCACCATGTCCGGTTTCAGTGGCCAGCACCACATGAGGTACTAGGGATCAAACCCAGGTCCTTGTGGTGTAGGCAGCTAAATTAGATAGAAATATAAGCAGTCAGGCAGGGCCAGTCCCTCGAGGAGACAAGATGGAAGACAAGGTGACTTTGCAACTTTGGAAGAGACAGACACTCCCCGCTGTGGGCCAGACCTCAAGACAAAGGAGTAAACAAAAGCAGCCACAAACTTCCCTAGGGATGGGCATCTGGGATTGATATTCTAGGTAAGGATCAATCACTGTGAAAAAGCCCAAATGAGTCACTAGCCCAACCCCCAACAGGAACGGATCCTGTCCTGTATTCAGGCCTGCTTGCTACGAGACTCGCTTCCTCATTTGGTACTGGTTTTAACCTACTTTACCTGAGCAATGGTGCTCGCAATCTCATTGGTTGACCATAGTTTTGTCTCGCCTCACGCCCACCTAGAGTTCCCATGTTCTCCACACCTTACACCCGCCTCACCACATGGTTTTACTCTATAAAAGTGCCTGGAGGAGACCGCTTCCTGGGGGCGAACCACTTGGGTCCTCCCTTCTGTACCTCTCTCAGACAGAAGCTTTCTTTCCCCAATAAAAGTTCTGCTCTTCCGTTTATTCCTAAAATTCATTCTTCAGTTTTAGAGAACACGAACTCCCAAGTACCTTCCAGGTCGGGCGTTTCATTCTCCTATATCATTTGCACTTGTCAGGCAGGAGCTTAGACTGCCAAGCTAATCTCCCTAGTCCCCTTTTTGTACAAATTTTGCTTTGGAAGGTTTAACACATTCACATGTTCACTTCTAAAAATAATTTCAAACGCTGCAATCCCGCGGCGCCCACCCTGCTCCTGTTTTGCAGAGGACCCTGGATTCGTTCCCTCTCCTGGACATGTCCATGCACACATGGGAGGGGAGGGGATGTGGCCTTGCTTTGCCGTGCCTCTGCATCCAGCCCAAGCAAGCACCGTCCACACACGCCTTGCTCAGCTCAGCAGCTTATCTTGGCAAGCTCCGCTTGTAGTTTAGAGCTCATTTCTTTACTCCTAATTGTTTTGCAGTACTCTTGGTGTGGTCTGGCTCCTTCCTCTACTGACGGACACTTAGTATTGTTTAGAATGCTTTTTATTACAGCTAAGTCACGGCCTCAACATACACAGCCATAGGAGCAAGGGATCCACTTCTGCCTCTCAGGGTACACCTATTTTCATTTTTATTTGTAATTTTCTTTGACGCTGTGCCAGGGATCAATCTCAGGGCTTTGGGCATTGATAAGCAACGTGGTGCCAGCCCTTGAGCTACACTGAGCTACATCACCAGGCTCCCTGTAGATAATCCACTACCACTTGTCACTTCCTCCTACACCTCATATTCTGGACACCAGTATCTTTTTTTTTATGTGATTGGTTGTTACAGCGTCTTACTACACAGCTTAGACTCATGCTGATCCACCTGATTTAAGCCTCCCCAGCGCTGGGATTACAGGCATGTGCCACTATGCCTCTGGCCAGCTCAGTCCACCCTAGGGGCAGGACTGTAGCAGCATGTGGGGCTGGGGATTGAACCATGGTCCCTGAGCTTGCTTAAGCTTGCCTAAGCAGGTGCTTTAGTCCACTAAGCCATCTTGCTGGCCTCTGGACACTAATATTTTATTTCAATTTGTGTGTGTTACTTTTTTTTTTTTTTTTTTTTGGCGGAACCGAGGATTGAACTCAGGCCCGTGCGCTTGCCAGGGAAGCGCTTATTCCACTGAGCCATCTCCCTGACCCTGTGTGTGTTACTTTTATCACCACCACCACCACCGACCGGTGTCGAGACTTCAGACTAATTTATCCTTCAGCTGGAAATGGTCACTGTCGACTTGTCCTGAGAAGCTCCCTCTGATCAGAGGTCTGCAACATTGGCCAGGATGCAGTCTCGGTGCGTTCCATTTTCTAGAACTTACAATGCATCGCCTGTGCTGCCCATGGGAACAGGCAGCAATTTAATGGCCGTTTCTATCTCAGTGCAGATGGCAGAACCCGTGTCTACACCACTGAGAGCTAAGTAGGTACCGAACTCACCTAAGGTTTGTAAATGATCCTCTTTCTCCCCTAAGACAGCTACAGAACTGAATTTTTTTTTAAAAAAACTGTTTTTCAAAGGGATTTATTTAAAATTTTCATCTATATCAGGTGAACGAAGACTTGTATTTAACCGTCCTGGGAGGCAGGCTGAGCAAAGGGGTCACTCTTTTCTCTGAATACACGGCATGCTGTCTGTCTTTACATCCAGCTCCCTACTCTGCTCTCTTGTGCTAACTGTACGGCACAGGTCCTCATACATATACAAATGCCCCTTGGATTCCTCGGTACAGTTCCACCCCATTCCTACGTGTCCCTCTGTTTTTACTACTTCTGTATTTTGGGAAAAGTCCTAGAGCATGCTATTTTAGGTAACAACAAAAAGCCCAAACAGCTAAATGTTGATTAAATAATCCATTGAATAAAATAGCCACTTCTTCTCAATTCCCAGTTCCGTATTGCCTTGGTGTACAATTCCAGTAGATTATAAGTAGAGCTCACGGTTATAAGCACAGATTTGTCTTTAAAGATAAAGGTTGGGGGCTGGAGAGATGGCTCAGTGGTCTAAAGCACCTACTTGGAACAAGCTTGGCAAAGCACAGGGACCGCGGTTCAATCCTCCAGTACCACATGCCAGCCAGCCGCTCCCCCTGGTGGGCTGAGCTGGCCACACACACACACACACACATACAATAAATGTTAAAGATAAAGGTTGTTAAGAAATTTCCCAAATGTCCAAATATAAAAAAGATGAACCAAGCAAGTCCTCCTGTACAGTGGCAGAACATTATTGTACCATTAAAAATGATGTCACAATAGGATATTTGAATATTTAATGCAATTCATGAATATTTATGTCATGCAAAAGAGCAAAGTACAAGACTACAATAGCAAAAATGAGAGTCCACAGATACAAAATTATCCTCATTTTGATGTCAAAGTTCATATTAATGCATTTAAATACTATGTGCTGCACAGTGTTTACCAAGTGCTAGATTGTAAGTGATTTGTTTTCTTCTACATTCATCATACTTCCAAATTTTCTACAGCGACAGACTAAATTACTTTTACAGCAAATACTTACAGGACTCATCTGAAGACACACTGGGGAAAGAGTTACACTCTGACTCCTGGGTGATGGTGACAAGAAGTTGCTGTAACTGTGTTCCCCCTTTAACTTTACCAAGGCCTCGACGAATCTTGTAGGAACTGAACATATAGTCATAATATCTGTGGGAGAAAAAAACTGAAATGAATTTTTAAAGCATCTTAACTTGATTTTAAACACACAGGCACTCCTGGACATCACAGAGCTTACAATAGCAAATAGACTCAGATCCAGGCTACCCACGTGGTCCAATGAGAGACTGTCACTCGGGGCTGCTCCTTACTGTCTCACTTGAGCAACTTTTTCTTTCTGTGCCCAGCTCAGCCCACCCTGGGGGCAGGGCTGGCGCCACATGTGGTGCTGGGGATGGAACCATGGTCCCTGTGCTTGCCTAAGCAAGCACTTTAGACTGCTGAGCTACCTCACTGGCCCCTCGAGCAGCTTTTCGGGAACCCTAATGTCCAGACCTTCAGAATTAGAATTTCTGAGAAGGGTTCTGAAGGTTGGAGTCTTGAAAGCTCCCTCGCACTCCAGAGGGACTGTTACGAAGTCCCTGCCAAGAATCGGCAATCAAATCCATCACAGTAACCCATCTCGGTAATTATCATTTGGGGCATGAAAACCAATTCTGCCTGGCAGTGAGGCCTATGTACTAGCAAGTTGCTTTCCCAAGAAAACTGTGTGTGTGTGTGTGTGTGTGTGTG